AAACACTCGGTCCTTTTGACTAGTGACTTCGATGCTAGCACAACCACCAACGGCATCTGAATAAAATTAGCCTTCCAAATTCCGCTAGTGCTATGGTTTTCAGACACTTTCCGATGGTGCCGCATACTTGGGATCTCCTCCCAAATGTCAACATCAATAAGTCAAGGAACTGGGAAATAAGAGACTCGAAGCCATAGAAATGTGGTTCTATAGAAGGATGCCATGGATCGAACATGTGAGCAACGACAAATGTTTAGGAGAAAATGGAAACAAAACGAAAATTGATTGAGATGGAATCAGGAAGAGACAAGTTGAAATTTCTGGAGCACATAATGAGGAAGGAGGGTTTGGAAAGCCTGATACTCACAAACAGATTGAAGGAAAGAGGACAGAAGAAAGCAGCAAGTAATTGTGGCTGAAGGGAAGTGATTAAATGGATGGCAGAACAGGGTTTAGTAGAAATAACAGAAATAAAACGTATTAAAAGCTACAAGGGACAGGAAGATGTGGACGACCATGAACGCCTTGTCTGAAAGAACACAACACAATGAAAAGAATAAGATTCAAATCCGGAAAAATGATCAGAAAGTCCACGTTCTAACCAAACTACGCACCCATGTATACTTAATGCTCCCTCTCACATATATTAGCTTGTCACACATGAAATGCATTTTTGGTTGGTTGTTGATCCGGTCGATTAAAAAAGTAAGATCCTTAGTATTTAAAAAATCTTGACTTATTCTTGACTCTTTTTCTTTCCAGATAATTTTTCAATGTATTTGTTAATCATAAGGCCAATGAAAATGATTACAATGAAACAATGTCGAGTAATCTTACTGTATGAATACAAACTGGGAAAAAGCACCATTTTGCAAAATCCACATGCGATGAAATGGATGCTCTTTTTTACAACAGTAAGAGAGTAGGCTAGTGGTTTGATGCAAGTGAATCACCAAAACAATACCCAAAAACTCCACTGCACCCTAAAAAGTTAATGGTTATTGTATGGTGGTCTTTCAAATGGGCTTATTCATTATTCATTCTTGCCTCAAGGAAAAACAATAACAACAACTCTTATTGTGGAGAAATTGAGTGTATGCACGAAAAAATGAAAAAGAAACATCCTAGACTTGTGAATAGGGATAACCCAATTTTGCTGCACGACAACGCACGGCCACATGCTTCTCAATCAATTGTCCAAAAGCTGCATAGCCTGAATTATGAAATTTTGCCTCATCCTCCATATTTACCTAGATATCTCTCCAACTGATTATCATTTTTTGAGCTTTTCATATGCAATAAAACATTCTCCAAAAATGAAAATGTAATCAAAATTTTAAGGTATTTGAACTATTTAACACATCAAATGATGAAATTAGAATTTTTTTTCATTTTTTAAATGGGATAAAGAAAATTTGATTCTGAGGAATAATCTTGGAAAATGAACAAAAATCATTCATCAACATTCGCACCTATTTTGAAAAAAAAAAATTATTATTTTATTCTAAATAAATTTTAGTTATTTAACAGTTCAACATTTTTGAAAAATAATAATTGTTTTAAAGTTTGTATAATGCTCATAGTTGCTGGATAGTAAGATTGTAAGGAAAACACTTAAAACAAAAGGTCAAGTGAAGAAGGGTTTAATCACATGAGAATGTGAATTGAGAATACAGTAGTTCCATATGACAAGCATACAACTGAACAGCACAATGCCTTTGCAACCCACTTTTTGGCCCTGATCCATGAGCGGACATTCTACTCATAGCAGATAGAGGAGCATATTTCAATAATAAGTGTAGAGAAGGTTAGTCAGTCTTTCTACACAATTGCTCCATTTTTACGATATGCATTCTCTCTTGAAATCATATTTTCTTTTTTTTTATTTTGCTCATGCTGTCTGCACCTGTATAATATCCCTTTCTTCAATTTTTGCAGTATCATATTTTAGATTTAAAATTCTTTGGAATTCTTCTGCCACTGTAAGGATAATTTTGGGTATTATTCAAGTTTTGTTTCAATGCAACAAGGAATTTCTGCCTCTTTTCTCAACACACTCAAGTTCACCCTTGCACAAAAATCAAACATTTAAATATGTCTGGAAATAGTTTATTCAGTTTAAATTTTTTGTATTTGCGATTAACAATACCAGCATAAGTAACAAAATTTTTGTCAGTTTTTTGGAAGATTTAAGCATTGGCAACATGTATGAAATAGGGAGCTTCTTTCACTGAAAATTTTAGACAAAATTAACAGTTTCATCAAATGTAATATTTCATTGTTTTTCAGGTAAAATGAAATTACAATATCTTTTCTGTTCTGATGGACACAATTTCCTTAAAAGTAAACATACCTTATTTTACACTATTTACATTATTTGGACTATTGTTCTCATCTTTGTTGCCAAATTTATCACGTTTTGGCCATTGTATACTCCAGCCTTCTTCAGGTAGTTGAAATGTCGAACTGAACCCTTTATTTTGCTCGCTGGGGTAGACTGTTCTAGTTCCACGTGCCACGTCTAATGGATGTTAGTTATCAGTTATCTCCTGTTAATTCATTTCTCCAAGGTATTGAACTTACCACTCTTTTTGGGTCCTGTCACTGGATCTAACCAACACCTTTATCCACTGTGCCATGTGTCCTTAAGGACATCTGTGTATGAATTTCTGGGACTTATAAACTTAATGTCTTCAGCAACCATTTTTTAGCAACCCTGAAGAAGGCTGAAGTGTACAACAGCCGAAACGTTGTGATAAATTTGGCAACAAAGATGAGAACCATAGTCTGAATAATGTAAATAGTGTACATAAAACCTCATCTCAGAAATATAGACAGATATCTTTATTTTCATTTAAAAATTACCAGCAATACATTTTTAAAAAAAAAAACAACACAACCTGCCTAGCAAGTGGATGGTGGAATAAGGTTTACAAAAGATAAAAATACAAAATTTATTAAGAGCTGAAAAGGAAAGGAAATTGAAAAGAGCCATGATTGCCAACATTCTGAAGGGCCATGGCACATAGAAGATGCAATTAGCATATGTATATGAAGGGAAAAAACCAGCATGGAAATGTTCAAGTGCTTCTTTGGTCAGTCTCAGAGACCACCACTTTATAACTACCACAGCTTAACTTCCAGTTCCTGTGACTACTATAAAGCCACAAAATGTAAACATGTTGCATTAACTCTGCTCCATTTACCAGTGCAATTTTAAAATAGAGGACACAACCCCATGCAGATATCTGAAAAGTGACACTGAAGAAAAAAAGGCTAAGAATTACTGACCACTTCTTAGATATTCCTATGTAGGGAACTCTGAGTAAATAATTATAAATCCCTAACATTTATATATACAAATTATAAACCCCTAACATTTATATATACAAATTATAAACCCCTAACATTTAAATATACAAATTATAAACCCCTAACATTTATATATGCAAATTATAAGGCCCTAACATTTATATATACAAATTATAAGGCCTTAACATTTAAATATACAAATTATAAGGCCTTAACATTTAAATATACAAATTATAAGGCCCTAACATTTATATATACAAAAATACTTGTAAAAATGCGAAACAGCAAAAGACGTGGAAACAACAAAATGAGTATTACTTATTATCTGGTTGTTATGTGGTGTTGTAGACAAAAAGAGAGAAACAGTAATACTGAGTCAAATTGTGAGTTTGGAGTCAAATGTAGATCAAATATGGATCAGACTCTGACAGAAGGATAAGATAAATGATAAAGTGTATACAGTCTTTCTTGTATGTCTTTTTTATAGGTATATGTAATATGTGTTCAGATAATTTAGTTAGTAAATACAAGAAGTATCTTATCTATTCTTACCTCAAATTTTTGTTGAGCGCTAAAAGATAAATGTTACTATTATGACCTGAAAAGGAAAAGGAGATTAATTTTTGTTGACACACATATTAACGACCTGTGTGAACTCTTTGTCCAATAGTGAGAATGTCATGGGTTTGTGTGTGTAAAGGAGAAAAGTGGGTTAATTCTTATAGGTTTAGAATGACTGAATCAATGATAATTATAATTGTTATAATTATTTTGATACTATGATTAATTTTTTATTTATTTATTTTTTATGAATATGACAGCTACTAATGATTAGTACTGCGATAATGCAACAAAACATAAACATGTGACATTAATTCAGTTGCATCAACCATGCTCCATTTACCAGTGCAATTTTAAAATAAGGGACACAATTCCATACAAATATCTGAAAACGGATGCAGTAGTAAAAAAAGGCTACCCCTGTTTAGATATTTCTACTGCAGTTTTCTGCGATTAGTACTGCTATAATGCAAAAAAAACATTAATTTAGTTGCATTAACTCTGATGCAATTTTAAAATAGGAAGTGCAAGTCCACACCAATATCTGAAAAGAGGCATTGGAAAAAAAAAAAAGGTTATATACCACTGATGTAAATATTTAAAAAATCTGTTGCACAAAGAAAACCCTTTGAAACCTGATTGGGACAGCTCACTCATTTGTTTATCATTTCATGCATATATTTGTATTTTAGATGCATTTGAAGCATCTAGCTGCAATTGCAATATGTAATATTTCATGCATGTATTTGCATTTTAGATACATTTTAATAATTTGGCTTAAATTTCAATTTGTGTATGCAGCAAAAAACTGCAAGCTAAAGTCAGGCTGATTCTATGGTCTAACCAAGTGCCTCTCCCATTTCACTGTTCCCACCATGGCTTACTTCTAATATTTGGTTCAGTGCAATAAAATGTAAGCAGGGGAATTGGTCGAATTAACAAATAGAGTTTTATGATAGGGGATGCTGAAAAGAGACACTGGAAACAGAACAGGTCACAATGCACTGATTTAAAATCTTAGAACTCACTTACTTTTAGGGAATTAATTAGAACCGAAAATTGAACAGTCAACTAATTATCATTAATCTAGAAAATCAGGAAATTAATGAAAAATAAATTCAACTTACTTTTTCCTTTGCCAAAAACATTCTTTATAGCATCCCCATAATGACCCTATGAACAAAAAATAATTTATTTTTGTTAAACTGGAGATATGACACAGTTACAAAAAAAGCAATTCAATAAACAAAATTAAAAAATAGTGTAATATCCTATAATAAAGTATATATATATATATATATATATATATATATATATATATATATATATATATATATATATATATATATGCAGAAGAAGTAAAGGCCAACTTCACTGTCTATAATACCATTTATTATTGACTTCATTTGGTTACAGTGTTTAAAATGGTTGACTATCATCATAATTCTTTTTGTGATTTGAGAGTCCATACTGGGTTGTTGTGTTCCTTTTGGTTGACAGAAATAAATTTGTTGCATTCATCTTTTCTTCTTCTTTCTCTTCTGGAGTTGTACGTCATGTCAAACTCACAGTCGATGACTTTCTATCCTTGCGTCTTGAACTGCTACCTTGAACCAAGTTCCTCTCCACTACAGCATCTCTCTGGTCTCATATGTGGGTTTTCTTCTTTTTATTGGTGCTGACACATCCATGTTATCCATTTGATTTTTGGTGGGATGTGTTGTCATTGGTTGATTTTTTATGATGTTCACTGACTTACATAAACTAAGCTCGGGTTCATGTTCATGTCTGTTACCGAGGATAGGAACAATAGAAAGAAGGAAAGGAAATATGTGTAATATAGAAGAGAGGGAGATAGAGTTTTCTTTGTCACTCACTTAGTATAGAGGAAAGTGTATATTTTCATATGGTGTTATCACTACCTAATCCTACTACACAGTCTCCCTTCAGACATGGAGTGAATAAAGTTTTGGTACATTTCAGTTTGACTACTATAAATGGTAACTTCTTTTTTTTTTTACTTAAAATAATAGTACTCATTCTGTTTTTTCCATGTGATACATTGACCTGCTTTAGATGTGTACGATTTGGTATTACTGCTTGTACTATTTTCATCAAATGTACTGGTGGTAATGTTTTTTTCACTCTCTGTGTTTTATTTTATTTTGCCTGTAATTTGGCAGTATTTTTACATTCTTGTACAAACGGCTCTATATATGATTTTAGTCTGTCAATTGATACTTGTGTATGTATGTCATTATTTAAATCTATTAAGTACTGCTTCAGTGAACATTGTAAAACTTTATAAGGGTCTGTATAAGGTGCTTCCAAAGGTTTTCTTACTCAATCTACTCAAAGCCATACTTTATTGCAAGTATGTAAAGAATTTGGTATGAAAGTGTTTGTTTGTGTATTGTGGTGTTATCTGTTGTCATTTAACATATCTAATTGTGACAGATTTATATAATTCTTTTATATACTCTTCCTCCACAGGGGCAATGTCTTTAATATTTGCATTGTCAACTAATTGGTAAGGGATCGGTATTGGTGCTCCAGTAACTGTTGTGAATGGTGCAAAATTAGATTAATTTGGAGTACTACGAATTCCTAAAAATACAATGGGTATGGTGGTTAGACAAGATTTCTTTTGAGTTATTATTGCTGTTTTTTAATGTGCGATTTGCTCTTTCTGTCAGTCCATTATTTTGTGGATAATATACCATTGTTCTTAATCTATAGAATCCTACTACTTTAGCTAATTCTTGGAATAATTCACTTTCAAATTGGCAACCATGACAACGTATAGTGGTACGCCAAATCACAATATTCATGCATCAATGAAAGCTTGGGCTACTGACTTTGCAATGATCTCTATCATAGGTTGGACTTCAATCCGTGTTGCACAATCTTGTAGCGGGCACTCCGTGCAGCCCCGTATCACACAAGGGTGAACGAGGTCACAAGAGGCCCGCTGACATTTTTGAAAACATTAAATCTGGCGGTGAAACAATATAGACGACAGAATGAGGACATGTATGATAAATGCTAATTTATTCTAGAAAATAAAAAGGGATAAAAGATGGTCGGACGGTAGAGGTGCAGAAGTTCTTGTGCAGGCATTGATGGTCGAGGTTGGTGTTGGTAGCTGCCAGGATGATCGTTGTTGAAGTCGATGTTGGTTGTTGCCAGGGATGATCACTGTTGATGGTTGAAGTTGATTGATGTTGTTGGTTGCTGGCAGTATCATCGTTGTTGGTTGTCAAAGTTGATTGTTGTCGTTTGTTGGCAGGATCATTGCTGTTGGAGTTGATGTTGGTAGTTGCCAGGAGTGCCACTTGTTGGTTGTTGCCAGGGTGATTGCTGTTGTTGAAGCTGGTCATTGCCGGGGTGCCAACTTGATTGTTTGTCATTGCCGGGATGCCAACTTGATGTGTTGGGAAGGAGAGAGAGAGAAAGAAAAGTTCCCAACTATCGTCAAGTTGGCAGACAAAAAAAAATTGGAGCGTAACTTAATACACAGCCCGTTGATCGGCATCCTTGGTCTTCGTTGGACAACCGCCTCTCTGAATCTAGCGAGAAGTCACTGTCTTGTGACAAGGGAGACTAGCAAGAGAAATTGGCTAAGCTAAACGTAAAGTCTCTATAATAAAATCCTAGGAGGTTAGCTAAAGAGAACTAAGGTCTAAAAATGACTAGTAGTATATTACAACTAGGTTTGTAATATAACCTAACTAAAAAGGGGGTTTGCTAGTCCCTCCGACGTGTTAACAGTGTGTAAGGGGCATGAATGAGAGGTCACGGTCAAGGTCGAAATGACCTGTTCCTCAGCCAGTTCAAGGATAGAAGGAGGAGGTAACTCCGACAATCTATACAAGTAGGTAAATATCAATAATGGCTGATATATTGTTCTGATTCCCTTTGTGTTGGCAGTAACAGCCTGACAATGTCAATATTTACAGTTTGGAATCTTACTAAAGGTAATTCAAAATTCTGCACAGCAGACTTGGTGTGTCTGAATCTTGGATTGTTGACAGACAATGCATTCTGCACAGAATGTCTTAATGGATTTGTCCATTTCAAGCCAAAAATATCTTGCTTTTAATAATTTCAAAGAGGCACTTATTCCAGGGTGTGCTAAGCAATGTAAGCTAGTAAATATTGTTTTATGCATACCCCTAAGAACAAATGGCCTAGGATGTATTGTGGAGATATCACATAGTATGGATCTGATTTTAGGGGAAATATTATATTCCTTTAGATTTTTATATGACTTGATTTTGTCATCTTGTTTCTGTGCTTGTGCTATCTCTGACAAGTCACAAATATCTATTTGAACTGCAAGTGCGGGTCTAGACAGACAGTTCGCAACTATATTCTGATTGCCTCTGATATATATAATATCCGATATATATTCAGAAAACACTGAAATATGATGCTGCTGTCAACTGGATTTTGCTAGGGTCTGGCTATGAAATGCCCCACACAATGGCTTATGATCCGTAAACAGCACTACACTGCAATCCTCTATGAGGTGGCAAAAATGCAGCAAGGAGAGATAAGCTGTGAGAAGCTCTCAATCAAATGTGGAATATTTTGTCTGTACTTGTGAAAATTTTTTGGAAAAGAATCTGATTGGTATAGGTTGTTTGTCTATTATTTGACATAAAGCTGCTATCAGTTACTAACTGGTACTCTGTCGTTGAAGCCTGGAGATGTGCTAATGCTGTTATCTCTAAAAATTATTTTTTATATTGTCAAATGCATTACTCGTTTATTTACCTCAAATACTGATCTAGGATTTAATCGCATGTATTCAGATAACAGCAATATAATGCTTTCATAATTTGAAATAAGTTTTCAGTAAAAACCTGTCATGCCTAAAAACCATCTTAACCTTTTAAAATTTGTTGGTTTAGGAAAATTTTCAGTAATTTTAATTTTCTTTTGTGTAGGTAGTAAACCGTTTTTACTGAAATGAAAGCCTAGAAAATCTAGTTCCATTACACTAAATATGCACTTATCTATTGAAATTTTTAACTTATTATTTAATACTTGTAGTACCTTGTCCAAGTCTTTTTTGTATTGCTGTTCATCATCATTAAAAACTAGGATATCCTCCAGATATATGAATACACAGTCCAGTTTGAAAAATATCCTAGCCATGTAATGTTGAAATGTAGCAGAGGAATTCTTCAAACCGAAAGGCATGTATAAGAATTCGAACAGCCCAAAAGGTGTAGCTACAGCAGTTTTTGCTATGTCCCCAGGATGCATTTTTATTTGATGATAGGCAGACAGTAGATATATTCTGGAAAAGCATGATTTATTTGCCAATCATGCTGTAAAAGAATTTATATTGGGTACAGGATATCTATCTGTTTTTGTGATACTATTTAAGGTACGGTAACCTCGATAACTACTGTCTGGTTTTTGTACTAAATGTAAGGGAGAAGCCCATTCACTATTTGAAGGTCTAATTACACCTGTACTTAATAACTTTTACTGAGGATAGAAACAATAGAAGGAAAGGAAATATGTGTAATACAGAAGAGAGGGAGAGAGAGTTTTCTTTGTCACTCACTTAGTAAAGAGGAAAGTGTATATTTTCATATGGTGTTATTACTACCTAATCCTACTACATATATATAGTTGGCCGGAAAGTCCTGACTTGGAAGCAGAAAGAAAACAACAAAACAACACCAATATTTATTCTTAAAAAATAAAGTCCATCATTGTCAATGATCTTCTGCCAGTGATCAGTCAGCATCTGAATCTGTCCCAGATACCAGACCACCAGCTTTGAATAAAAAAAACTATAAACAAGCTTCTTTCACTTCATCAAAGGTGGTGAATCACTAGTTGCGAAGGAAGTGTGCTATTGAGTGAATAGATGATATTCACTTGGAGCAGCATCGGGGTTGAATGGTGGATGTGGAAGAATCTCAACATCATCCATCTGTTTGAACTTCTCCTTAGTCAACCAGACAGTGTGTGGCCTCACATTGTCTTGCTGAAACAAGGTCCAACCTCAACTGACCAATGCAAGGTACTCCTTATTTAGTTTGTCATCTAGCTGCTGGCAATACAGTTTAGCAATGAGGGTATGACCATTTGGAACAAGCTCGAAATGCAGTACTTCCTGGAAATTCCACCAGACAGAGATCAAGATTTATTGTTTTCTTTCTGCTTCCTAAGTGAGTCAGGACTTTCTGGCCAATCTCATAGAAAACTTGAAAAGTGAAAATTTAAAAATAATTCCTTTAAATTGAGTGTCCTAAACATGTTTCTGACTGCAATATTATTCCTCAAGAAGACTTTCAATGTGGACAGACAAAACACGATCATAACTTAATATCCAAAAAACAAAATGATGAAGTGATTGACCTCCTATATATGAATGCTGAACAATCACCTCACAGATGAAGAAGGACTCTGAGAATACCATGGATTGAACATATGAGCAATGAGAAAGATTTATAGAAAATGGAAACAAAAAGTAAAGTTATACTCAATATCAGAAATCTTAACAACATTAGATCTGCCAATGACAGTGTTGATAGACACAGAAAGGAAAATACAGGAACTCTGACAGAAGGTAGTAAAGGAAAATGAGAAGAAAGGACTAAACATCAATTTTAAGGAGACAGAATGCATGGTTGTTAGTAAAAAGAAAAGCCAACCATGCAAATTACAAATTGGAGATGCTGAAAATAAAGCAAGTACAAACATTTAAATATCTAGAAAATGTTTTAAGAGAGGATCAAAAGTATGACACTGAAATCTGAAGGTGCATTGGGATAGTGAAAGATGCTTTCAAAAAGCTAAGCAAAGTATTAAGAAACAGAAAAATCTTGTTAGAAGCAAAGAAAAGAGTACACAACTGTTATTCAATATTACTCTTCCTATATGGCAGTAAATATAGGACAATCTTTTCACAGACAAAAAGACTTAAGACAGCAGAAATATAGTTCTACAGAATGATTCTGAGAATACTATGGACTGAACATATTAGCAATGATAAAGCAAAAGCTAGAGAAAATGAAAACAAAAAGAACATTTATGCTTAGAATTAGAAAAAGATAGTTAAAATTTCTAGGGCACATAATGAGGAAAGAAGGCTTAGAAAATTTGACACTCACAGGACATATTGAAGACAAGAGAGGCAGAAGAAAGCCACATATAATCTATCAAATGAGCTTGTGTAAATCATTAGCAGAACAGAGATTAGGAGAGATATCTAAAAAACAATTTATTAAGAGCTACAAAAGACAGTAAATTATGGAGTGCCATGAT